CAAAAGAGTTTACGTGGCCTTGTAGGCGATAAATTATTCTCCAAAATACAATGTCTTTAGAACGCACGAAACGTTTCACTCGAACAGATTCTTTATGCAAACCACTGCCTTCTGGAACCGACTCCTAACAAGATGATTTCCCTATCAATACAATCGATCAAAACAGGGGTTAACCGTTATCTCCCAATCTTATACACACAAATGGACCCCTAACGTAACTCTCTATATTGAGTGGCTCCTGGGCCTTCTAAAGAATGAACCTTAGTGTAAAAACTTAAAAAAAGATAAATAAAATGAACGGAACAGACTATTTTCCCAACATCTTTAACGAAGGCATGAACATAGAGGTTTCACTTGAGAGTGTAGTGTTGCTGCTCAGACCAGATACGTTTGTTTGTTTTCAGGATGTATCTTCTTCCCGTCAAAGACTTATAGCTTAAATATAACCGTTCGCTCGGAACATCAACCACGAATTAAAACAATGATACATTTTTAGCGGTAAGCAAATGTTTTTATCTAGGTGTAACCTACTGCTGTAGATGAGCGAGGCAGTGATGAAAGATACGTGAGGGGGTAGGGGAAGAGTCTAAGGGCCGTCTTCACTTTATCGTCGATGCGATGCGATCTCCCCGTCACTCTTTATCACTCTGCGTTTTTCACGGATAGTGACCACTGTCTTATAGAGTACATTGTTCTTTGTTTTGTTAACTTTTTCTCAACAAGTATTTTTTCTTCATTCTGTGACCGTGTCAGAGCCGCTTGGCATGCTACTTGTGAAGCCCACTTCATTTGGCTGTTAATAATGAGGAAAAATGTCTGAAGCCATTTTTCGACAGGTCGGTTGTTTTTCAAATTTAAACATGTTAGATTGACAAATGTTTCTCATTTGTTCTTTATCTTATTCTGTAGGATATTCAGATCCCATTTGATTATATATATATATATATATATATATATATATATATATATATATATATATATATAAATTCATGAATCATTCATAAAAAACAAATATTGAGGTTAATGATTTAAATGGCGAGAATACATCATCGCAAACAATATCAATAAGATACACCAAACCCGAACCTGTATATGAATGATATGATCCCTGTTTATAAATTCCAGTTGCATCAGGTCTTTTTAATTTTTTACAACCTTTCGTCTGTTCCTACAGACATCCTCAGGTATGGAAATAGATTTTGTTCTTGCTTTTACATCTCGGTAATAAGAGGACAAAGAAAATAGAGATGTAATCAGAAAAAATGCTATGAGTATTGTGTAAATGTTTTGGAGCGTGCGGTCGCAACGCTGAGTTTGAATTTAAATTTTAAGGTTGTGCGTTTTTGTAAAAATATAGCAATAAGAGAATTCTATTTTACAGTTAGATTTTCCGTCAATATGGCATGAACTATATTGTTCAATAATTACAATAATGTCACACTTATTTATATTGTTTGCGATGATGTTGTCTCGCCATTTAAATCATTAACCTCTATATTTGTTTTTTGTATGAATGATAAATGAATTTATAAATTAAAATTGCACTTTTTAATTGAAATATATATATATATATATATATATATATATATATTTATTTATTTATATATATATATATATATATATATATATGTATTTGATCCCAATTCACACACATACACACACACAATACACACACACACATGTATGTATATATATATATATATATATATATATATATATATATATATATGTGTGTGTGTGATGTGAATGTGTAATGAGAGTGTGATGAATGTGTGTAGTATTGTTGTAAGGGATTCTTGGTGCCAAAATTAACTTATTTTTCGTATTTTACTGGTGAGAAAGCATTTTAGGCAGGAAGTTTTTCGCCATGGAGTGCTCTTTATAAAAAGTTAAAGATAGAGCGTTAATATAATTAATGCGGAGTGGTCTTGGCTCAGTCATGCTGGCTTCGAAGATACTTCAGCGTATTGCAGTAATGTTTTCACACTTCAGGATTGTTGCCTTCTGCAATACTCTCCTGAAACTTCGAAGTCGGGATAGCTGCATTAATCCTCACTGCCTCTCTCCATATATATATATATATATATATATATATATATATATATATATATGTACGTGAAATGTGTGTGTATATATAAATATATATATATATATATATATATATATATATATATATATATATATATATATATATAATTATTTATATATTATATGCGGTACTTATTAGAAAGCGCTCATTATCAGAGATAGAGCTAACATATTTGGTTGGATAGATGTGAGTTTCTGATTGTCTGACGATCGCAAAAGCGTGAAACCCAGGGTCACAAACTCACATCTATCCAACTAAAATATATATATATATATATATATATATATATATATATATATATATATATATATGTATGAAAATTTCTCCGATTTAACCAGTAGAGAAGAAAATATTTATGAATAAAAATGACAATAGGAAAACTGGTAATTGCTGACGCATTTCGTCCAATGTGGACTTTAAATATTAAAATAAAAAAAAAAAAATTTCGTATTTTGCTTTTGATAAAGTCCATATATATATATATATATATATATATATATATATATATATATATATATATATATATATTTCTTCATATATTCTTGTATTAGTTTCATCTTCTTTTTCTGCAACTAATACAAATACTAATGCTGCTACAACTACTTCTGAGTATATTAATTCACATACACTCATTCTTTTAATAATGTTTTATATGTTGTCTCCTTCTTGCTCCTCTTCTTTCTTCTTCTACTTCTTTTTCTTCTTTATTCTTTCTTCTTCTTCATTGTTTCTACTTGTTCTTTCTTTATTTATCTTTCTTCATCATCTGAATTTACAACTATTCGTTCCAATACATTTACTAGTAATTTTAACAATAAATCAGACCAGTCATCTCTTAAATGAAAGTTTTGCACTTTTGCTTTTTCTTCTAATAAACTAAAGAACAGACTTTCGAAGTGGTGATTCTTTTTTTTTAAGCAAATTTTACTTTGAATAAAGTCTGCTTTGTGCACATAGTTTAAGCACGTTCACCTGGTGTATGAGAAAGGAATTTCAATATAATGCCGTTTGTATTTCTGCGTTTCGTTTTAGACGAATGTTTTTTTAATTTGAAATTATACAAGATTATTTATTCAAGATTGTTGATTTCCATTCATATCCCGAGAGCATGTTTTTATATTTTACTATAACATTTTACTAATTTATTGTTGAGTTTATATTAAAGGTCGTTTATTTTTAATTTGTATATATCTATCATAGTCTTCTCACTCTCACTGTCTCTCTCCATATACCCATACATTATATATATATATATATATATATATATATATATATATATATATATATATATATATATATATAATAATGAGAACGAAAAGAATATAAATTCAAACGTTCATAAGATTAATTTAAAGAGGGCTCAATACAAAAAGTAGTCCAATAGATGTTTTTTTCATTATTTGTTATTACATACGTACAAATATTAATCACGTCTAACAAATATGCATCATGTAATTACATGTTTATTCGTATGCAATAACTTGTGATATATATATATATATATATATATATATATATATATATATATATATATATATATATATATATATATATATATATGTTAGCAAATATAAATGGATATATCTGATAGAATGAAAATATCTGGAAAAACAAACAAAAATCCTTAGAATGTGATTATGTTGTTTTATTTCATTATTTCATTCATAATTAAAACAACATAATCACATTCTAAGGATTTTGTTTGTTTTTCCAGATATTTTCTTCATATATATATATATATATATATATCAGTTTGTTCACATGTATATAAGTAGCTATCTTTCAATTTCTTGATATCTATTTGACATGTCTACCTATATATCTATCTCTCTCTCTCTCTGTATATATATATATATATATATATATATATATATATATATATATATATATATATATATGCCTGTCAATATCAGTCTATTTATATCTATTTATAACTATTTATCTCTCTGTATATATCTGTGTATATATATATATATATATATATATATATCTATTTCAGCCTCTTCTTATCTATCTTTCACAGTCTTCTCTCTCTCGTTATATATATATATACATATATATATATATATATATATATATCAGTTTGTTCACATGTATATAACTAGCTATATTTCAAGTTCTTGTTAACTATTGGCATGTCTATCTATCTATCTATCTATCTCTCTGTATATATATATATATATATATATATATATATATATATATATATATATATATATATATATATATATATATTCAAAGTATATAATTGTATACACGGAATGAATTCCAATAACCAACAATTACTATTCTTAAAAGAGTGCTCAATACAAAAGTAGAGCAGATATAATTATTTTATAAAAAAATTATAAACATAAGTATGTTATAAAATCACTACAAAAATAGCCATTTTGTTTCAACACACTCTGTGTCTTATCAAGTGATGATGTTGAAAATAAAATAAATGGTTTTAAAAGTTTCAGATTAATTAACGATCCTACACTAGGGGGAAACATTGTTACAAAAGCTAGAATAACCAATCAAAAACGAAGTATAGAAAGATTCAAAAGCTTGACAACGAAATCCTGCTCTAATAGCTATTCAGATCTTTTAAATACGTGTAATATTAAAAAATAATTTATACTAAATAATAATTATAAATTTACATGATAAATTTAATATTAAAATTAAAACTGGCAATTTTAAAATCCAAATTTAATCACTATTAAGTTTAAAAACTACAAAATTATTGAGAAAAGAAAAAATATATATGTTTATTCAATTCATTTCTTCATTGAAATATATATATATATATATATCTATTTCAGTCTCTTCTTATCTATCTTTCACAGTCTTCTCTCTCTATATAAGCTATATATATATATATATATATATATATATATATGCTTAAGTTTCTACACATCTGCTTCAG